ATTATCAGGGGTCTGTCCAGGCCGAATTTACTACCGTTTAGCGGTACCTTCACAAATTCAATTTTAGGAAGAACGGTAGTTTCACAAAATCAACTTTAGGAAAAACGGTAGTTTCACAAAATACTTTTCTTAAAATTTTATTTTTGTATCCCTTAAGACACGATAAATTCATATTTTTACCATATTTTTATGTTGATTTTTTAATATAATTTTTAATTTTCACAAATTATGTCTAAATTTTCTCAAAATAGGTACCTTTCAGAAAAACCTAGACAGACCCCTGCTACTGAACATGTAATTTTGTTTGTAATTAAATTTTGTTTAATGTGCTTTTTCAACCGAATAAAAGTTTTTAACTCGACAAAATAGCAGTAATTCTTGACTTAGAGTTTGTTAGTAGTTACAAGTTTTGAAAGTTTTGTTTAGCTTATTTCTAATATTTAAGAAATGCCAAATTTTAAATTCTTCATTTTATTAATAGTTCCAAGCTTTTCTGTTTGTTTGTTTATTTTGAACAATTAAGAAGTGCAAAATTTTGAATGCTTTGCAAATCAAGCTGTAATGATAAAAGTATCACTATTTTCAATAAGTATATTACAATATTTCTGTATGAATGTATAACCTTCTATAAGAATACATGTATATAGTTGCAAAATAAATAGCAATCATTTACAACATTCATTTATAAAGGCAATTATGTGAAAATAATATATTGTCTGCAATATGCTATAAATTAAAGAAAACAGTAGGTTTTTGACGGCTTTAACCGGTATAAACACGGTCGTTACCACTGTCTAGGCTTTTCTAAGAGGTGCCTGTTTTGTGAAATATTAAAAAATCAACACAAAAATATGGATTTATTGTTTCTGAAGGGATAAAAAAATAAAATTTGAAGAAAAAGTATTTTGTGAAGATACTGCTAAACTGTAGTAAATTCGGCCTGGGCAGACCCCTGACTGTCATGTCAAAAACCAGTTTTTTACTGCAAAACCCAACCCTGATCAATAAATGGATAAAGTTCTTTATTCTTTTAATCCCTATTTGGGCTTCTAAATCTCCTGATTTTCTGCAATCATTTCTTAAATGGAAATAAACTAAAGTCTCACTGTTTTTTTATAGATTGATACTTGATATTCTATGTATAATGTGCATTTGTACAAGAACACATTTAGAAATATCAAAGTATATCAGCTGTGTTAAATTAAAACGACTTTGGTCCATTATGTTTTCCATTACATTAATTCATTCTCTCTCCATGGCTAGTTCACTGAAGTTTTAATTTTCAAATCCATCTGCCATTAAACACCTTCAATGTGCATATACTTTTAAGGTCATAATTAGAACAAATTTTTCTATTTAACACATAAGGCTTTGGATGGCAAACTTTTCTATGATAATGGTGAGACTTATTTCCACAAATAGACATAATATAGATTATCATTATTTGAGATGTAGTTGTTGAAACAAGATAAAGCTTGTATACAGAATATCAAAAGATGGATTTTGGGCTTTACTGTACTACCTTTGTACTGTAATTTTTCTAATTATTCTTATTTTAAATTTAAAACATTGAAGAGTTTTTAAATAAATATATTGATTTTATTACAATTATTTTTTCCCTTTGGAATTAAAATATGACACTCTAAATTTGAATTTTAATATTAAATTTAACAATAAAATTAATGTCACACCTTGTATAGTTATGTAAAGCAATATGTGTAGTAAAAAACCTTTCAAGATAAAATTTTTATTTGACTATGCAAAAATTGGAATTTTTTTTAAAATTAAAATTAGCTTAACTCCTGTTATACATGTCTTTTATTCTTGAAACAAACTTTGCGTATGAAGTTTGAATCTAGTTTGTATAAAGTTTGCATTAATCATGTACTGCATATAAATCAACTAGAGCCCTGGGGAAGAGGTGAAAGTTTCTCAGATTGTGGAGGATATTTCCACATCGTGCCAGCTACAATTGCGAAGATACCAAATAGATTTTAAACGTGCAAATTTTTTTAAAAAAACTTATAGATATTTGCACAGGGTTATATTTGCACAAGTTATATTTAAAAAGTGCTTAAAGGTGCTTATTTTCGTTTTTTAAAAGCCCTTAAAGGTGCTTTTTCCATTGGGTGTGTTTTAAAAGTGCTTAATTTTCCCTTTTCCAAAATGAGATTTTTCCTTTACCATGTTGATTTTTGCTACAAGTAATGCAAAAAGACACAGTTCACATTGTTCTATTCAGCGTTTTCAGAATTAATTCAACCCCAATCTATTTTGGGGTATTGGCAGTCTGTAGCATATGAAAATGCCATTCGTTTTACATGATTCAAAATTTCGTAATTTTAGACAATTGTCAAAAATAATGCCAAAAGTTTCTTTTTCTTTCGACATTGTTAAAACCAGATGAAACCATGAATTGTCTAGAACTTTACAACCCTGCCTAACTATGATATTTTATTTAAGTGCTTAAAAATATTTTTTGAGTGCTTGAAAGGTGCTTATTTTTTGTTGAATAATTTGGCTACGCACCCTGTTATACCTTTCAAGTTGGTCCCTTTCTGCATTTTTTCTTTTTTTTTTCTTTCTAGTTTCTTACAGGGCGCTGCCCGGAAGTTGCCAAGACTTGGCGATTATTCTGCCACAGATTACTATATGGAAATCTCCCCAGATCTAGGATAAAGCATTTTTTTTAAAAAAGATTTTGTCAAGGAAATTTTAAAAAGCGATATAATTGTAAAACTAATGCATTTATTTTGTTACCTTTATTTTATTCAATTATTTTTTTTTATTACCTTGAATAATTAGGAATATAGGAATCATAAATCTATTAATAACTGTTATGAGAAGTAGACATAGTATAAAATGTATCACAAAAAAATTACAAAATCTACAAAAAATTTATTATCCATTATTTTGTTATAAAATTTAAATTGTGAAGATAATATTTGCTTGTATTTTAAATATTAAACCATGAAATTTATTTTTCTTCTTAGTATAAAATTTAAACTAGTTTTACTTAGGAAGTACTAACTATTCAATCTTGATTCTGTTTTTGACTGTGTTAGCATAAAAGCAAATTACTTGATTTATCGAATAAAGAAGTATTAAGTATTTTCTATGTGTTCAGCTCTAGTAATATGTTTTAGTGTTTTTTATTTTATTATTATTATTAATTAAAATTCAGAATTTTTGTCACGTAATTGAAATTTCCCTTTCTTCAGTTTAATTCATTCTGTCCTCCTCTGCATATCAATGCTGCAGCTGTATCAATCAGAATAAAATTAATTTAAAAAATTCTAGTATGCATTTTATGCAATATTTTTTTTAATTAGGCCTATTTTTTGTTTATTCATGTTTGCCTACTCATGTTTATAATTCTACGTGATGTAGTGACAGGATTTTAAGATTTTTAGACACTATAAGCAAATTTTCTTATAATACTAATCCATTTCAACAATTAAAACTGTCCGACTTACCTGGTCTGGTTTAAGAGATACCATACTTGTTTTGAATAATTGACTTAAAATTCATGAAAGTAATTGTTTTTCGTAAAATAAAAAATGTAAAAACAAATAAATTTAATAACTCCAATAATATTTTATTTGCATTTAGTACTGTTTGTTATTAGTTTTCTCTGCTGATTAGGTTACGTGCATTTAAACAATTTCATGAATGTTGTACTGTTATGCCTGATCAATTCTGTTTCTAATAGTGAATGAAATTAACTGAGCAAGAAAGAAATTACATATTTTATACAGTAACGTACATATTGATCATTAAATATGCATTTTATGAAATATAAATGTGTATCTTATTAAAAGTGACTCAAAAGTAAATAAAATGTTATTTTTCTTTAAAATATGAAAGAAAATATGTTTTTGTTTATTATATAATAAATCCTTCAGTTTAATATTATACAACTCTTTAGTATTTAATTATATTAATATTTAAAGTTTATGTTCAAATTTGAATATTTTTAAATCAAATATTTTTATTGCATAAATTTTTAATTTTTCTTTCGCATATTTTATTTCTGCCAAATTTACCATTTTTCAGGTTAAAAATGCATAGTACATCAGTTCTGTTGTATCATTGGCAGAAAAATTTTAATAGCAATTTATGATTAAAAATTACTGAGTGAAATAAATATATATAGGAATTATTATTCTGAATAATTTGTTCTTAGATTTCTGATGTTCTCAAAATTAGAACTTGAGTAAAATCAAATTCTGGTAAATTGGGCTTGTCAATGGACCAAAACACATAGCTAAGTTTTCCTTGCTTTTCACCTGGATATATAATCATCACTAAAAGATACTATTAATTTTCTTTTTAATTTTGAAATGAATGATATAACTTTGTCATTGTATGAGGTTTACTTTACTAAAGTGTATGGATATTTATTAGTTAAATTGTCAATTATTTAAAAATATTTTTTTAGGTATTATGATGGGGATCAAGACGCTTTGTTTAAAGAAGCCCATATTGTTAATCCTTATAAAAATCAACCAAGTTCATCAAAAGTAATTTTTTAATATATTTTACCTTTTTTTATAATCTTTTTCGTGAGATGCTATTTAACCGATTCAGCATTGCACCCTCTTCTTGAAAGTGAATTAAATGTTTTTCTTCTTCCCAAGAAAAAACAGGTTTTTAAGAAATGCCTTTACTTCTCCCCAGACCATAACTGAACTGGGTATGTTAGTAACGCTTTCAGTCTGGTTTATGGGTAGGAAAATGTCAGATTGTGCTTCTTTGGCACTTAAAATAACCAGACCTGGTCTGTTCTCAATGCTGTATCAGTTAAATATATTGATGAAACTAAGTATTATACAATTTAATTATATTTTGTAGCAAAATCAAATATGCAAATCATGTCAACCAATCCAAGATATCAATGGTCCTGGTGCTTATTTCTGTGAAAAATTTTATGAACTATTTTTGCTGATATTTCTAGTGCCATTAAAGTACAAACTTTTGTAAAAAAAGTATAATATTTCTTAAAAAGTATTCTTTAATTATTAAATGTAAAAAAATAAATTGAGAATTATACCTTGAAAATAATAATATTTTTTATAAAGTTGATCTTAAATTTTGAAAAGATAACTAGAATATTAAATATTTACATTATTTTACCCAAATATTTTGTGCAAGATGTGAAAATAAAGGATAACATTTCTGATTGAAAATATAGATTTACTTGTATATAAAACTATTATTATTTTGTGAAATTTTGTTTATTAATATTTTTAGTATGAAGGTAGTGATTTTTTCTTGTGATAATGAAGGATAATAAAATTACTCCCTGTCTAGATTTATCATAAAATTCTTAAATAGAAGGGCTCTTGAGGCTACAAGGTATAAAATCAGCAATTTTAATCATGCTTTTCATCAATTGATTTAATTGACATGAATCATTAAAGAACAGAAAGTATAAAAGGCTGATTTTCACTATGTTTTTTTTAAGAGGTTTTAACTAATGAGAGCAACAACATTCATTTCATTCTTAGCATTCATTTTTATTAACTAATTACAAAGTAACGAAAAGTAAAATTATTAAAATAACAGGTATTAAGTGCTTTTGTACTTTTCAGTAATTTTATCAGCAGATATAATTTTTAGTATATGTGCAATAAATGTGCATTGTCTTTTCGTTAAATATTTAGTCTTACTCCAGTGAAATAACTAAGTTAATTATTCCTGATTAAAAAATCTTCCTAGAAGATCAATTCCTCCGGGTTTTAAGGGTATTTTCGTAAATCTTCCACAAATATTGCAACATTGCTAATTAACTTAAATACAATTGAGGAAGTTTAAGCCAATAATTAACAAACACATAGTCACAAAGTTAAGCTTTGACTCAAAATTATAAGTAAATATTTATGTTTACAGTGATCTCTCAAGAGTGGCCATTCTCTGTTCCACAGTAAAATGGTCATTAATGGACGTTGGTCATCCTTAGGTGTTAGCTCCCTATTTATGTTTGATTTTCCCCAAATGATTTTGATTTTAGTCGGAGTTATTTTATTTGTGGTAAATTGCCACTTGTGTTGACATTATGAAAACTGGATTGATGAATAAAATATAACATAAAAAAATTATCCCTACTGATATAATTATATGTCGAAACAAATTTAATAATTATGAACTATTTTATATAAATAAACAATTATATTTTTTTGCTTAAGTTTGTATTTAGTTTTATATAATAAAAATTAGATTTAAAAGATGAGAAGAGGTTTGTTTGAGGTGCTAGTTTTTTCTAAAATAACTTTTTAAGTTAACTTTCTACTCTAAAATTAAATAATTGGTAGCATTGTCTTTAGTGCACTCTGACTGCAATATGAGGTTATAGATCTCCTTCAGAGATCGTCACAAAGAGCTCTCTAAATAAGAGCCTCGCACAAATATTTTGAATGCATTTTAGTCTACTTATTTGTTTTGTAAAAGATTTTTTGTTTTGATATTTTTTCGTGTTTCCTTATTTGACTTATTCCACATTTGGTGCTGAAGTTTTCTTTTCCTGGGAGAGGTTTTCATGCTCTCTCCTAAAGGTTTTCTTTAGCACAAAGTCTGCGAAAAAAAATTCTGGGCCTCCCAAAAGTGATCGTACAGGTGGTCTTTCCTGGAGGTTCTACTGTATACATTTTATCTAAGCCATCCCCTCTGCAGAGGATCAAAATTGCGATGGCATGTCTGCGGATCATCCTCGGGGATATTTCCCAGACCGTCACCTGTAGTCCATTGTGCAGCTCTATTGCCATGTAAATAAAGTACCTACCACCTGTATTTTACATATGTTGATGTTAAGTTATATGCAAATAGAGTAATTTGGAAAATGAATAAAATATTTCAAGTGGATTTTTGTTTATAAGATAAAAACCTCTCATGTTTTGTTTTTCTTTTTCATTGGAGGGTGGGGTAAAATCATAGCAATCATGTTTAAAACTGACTACTGATGTAGTACAAAATATAACTTAGTTCATTCTTGTAATACACAAGGATGCCAACAGCTCCACTTTCTGCAAAAGTTTTAATAAATCGGTAGCGAATTAAATAGTGAAACTTGTAGAATAAAGATAATTACGCCTACTCTTGGAAAGAGTAACCAGCAAGATAAATATAAGGAAGTTGCATTTCATATGATACTTTTAATTGTCCTTATGTAGTGGTGGAAAAATTATTTAAAATAAAAAATACTGAACTGAAAATAACTTAAATTTCGTCATCACTAGAAAACATATTTTTACAAAGCAGAGCAAGTTGACATCTCTGAATAAATTATTGGAACTCTGCTATTTTATAATTCTAATTTTTGTTATAAACTTTTAGGATTCTCGATATGGGGTGAGAACTGAAGAATGTGAAATATGTTTAATGAATATTCCTCGTAATGTGAGTATTACAATAGAAATTCATTTTATTTTTAATTGTTTCAATTTTTTTTTTTCAAATAAGCTTCATTTTGAAAGACCTTAATGATTTGTGACAAAATTTGTTGAACTGCGGAACTATCCGTGAATTTTAAGTTATTAAAACATCTTTTTTTTTTGTTAACAACTTTTCAATTTATAATTTTTGAGACACTTGAAGACTTTATTATGAAGAAAATTCTTGAGTAATTAATTGCTCTGAAAAATATATATTTTATAAGAAGGAATTGGGCATCACCAATTTCTAACGATTTTTTATATTTTAAAGGAGGAAATCAAATCTTGTATAAAAGGGATAACTTCCCAAAAATTTGAATTGATCTCTGTGCAGTTGTGTTAATCTTAATTATAATTTCATTTGTTAATTGTTTTTTCCCCTTACACAAATGTGTAATTTGTTCTAATTTTTGAATAAAAAATTTTAATAAACTAGAAGAAGATTAAGATTTAACTCTTAACTAAAAGAACTATGCATTCGCCAAAATTTTTTTAAAAAAATCTCATTTCACAGATTAAAATAAATATTTTCTATGACTTTAGTTAAAATTGTTGCTACTACCAGTTAAATAATTGATTTATTTTCTTTTTAGATGATGACAGGTATAGCTTGTGGTCATCGGTTCTGCAAAGAGTGCTGGAAAGAGTATCTTACAAGCAAAATTATGGACCAAGGAATGTGTCAGGTAAGTATTTAGAAAATTTCTTTTTTTTTTTTTTTTAATATAATTAGTTACATTGATATAGCACATCGATATATATTAGTCTAACTATTATATAGTATCTAATGATTGGTTCGTTATTGTCCTGAAATTTCTGATGAAAGATATTTTGTCTTGATTATTATCTTTTTGTCTTGGTATTCTTGATTTTTGTGTATTTTAAAACATTGTTTTTCTCTGAATATTTTTACAAATTTTAAAATTGTGGTGTAATTTAGAGATAGGTGTAAAATAATAAGAGGTTAGCTGTTATCTTTGTTTTGTTTGCTGTAAAAAAAGTAAAATAAAGAAAATGTGTCTTTTCTAAAAAAAAGTAATAAGTTCAGTTTTAAAATTTTCTTAGAATGACACACATGAGACTTATTTCCATCTTAATTGTTATGTTATTATTTGCTGTATAACTAAAAGTATGATTTCAAAATTCAGTAGTACTTTGATTTTTTAAAATAATTAAGATCACACATTCTTCTAATAGTACGAAATTTTAAATGATTGAGGTTTGCCACTTATTTCATATAGGTAATATCTTCAAAATCACATATTTAGAATTTTTTTTTTGAAGTCATGCTATGATTTAAACTTATTTTCAATTTTTAATCCTATATTAAACTAGTATTACAATCTATTCATATATGTTGCTCACTGATTTACATTAATGTTTTCTGAATCCATGTGCATTACCTGATTCCTCAGTCATTCAAATATTAGTTTTGGTTGAAAGAAGTTTAGATAATTAAGGTTTTACAGGATTGAAATAATTCAATTTTCTTGAATCTGTTGCTTTATTGAAATAATTCAATTTTCTTGAATCTGTTGCTTTATTGAATCTTTTAAAATACATTTGTCTATTATATACTTTTCAGATAATTGCTTGTGCTGCTCATGGTTGTGACATTCTTGTAGATGATCAAACAGTAATGTAAGTACCTAAACTGTATCTAAAACCAAAAAAATCATGTCTTTAGGGGAACAACAGTGTGGTGTTGATTTTTCTACAAAAGAGGCCTACCTTTCTGCATGAATTTATGATTCTAGTAATTTAAAACATAAATGCATTAACTTTTTAAATTATGTGAGGCTAAATATGTTAATGGTCAATACTGTAATACTTTGGAAATGTTTAAAAACTAGTCTGAGTCCTTTATTTTCTTAAAAGGAGTCACTCTATTGTTACAGGAATCTCTGATTTGCTAAATAAAAAATCATGGTCTTATATAGTTTTCATTGCATATAGGACTTTTATTTAAGAAAAAAATAACAGCCTTAAATAAAAAGAAATATACTCTTTAGAGTCAAGGTTCAATGAAAAATAGACTTTGCACTTAACAAATTACATTTGTTACAAGCCTGCACCAACTACAATCGCCAAATTGACATTTTTGTTGTAGTATATTTGATATTTAATATTTGATAGCTTGCCAAAATGCAAATACAAATTTTGCCCCATCAAATGAATTAGTTCTTTACTATGATTTATTTATTTTTTAAGTTCCTTTAATTCCATTGTCACAATAATTTGGAAACCATGCTGGAGCAGTATCTGATAGGCTTTTTTGTCTGGGTCCCAGCTTTCAAAGAAATGCCATTTTCCACTGGCATCAAACTTTAAAATTGAAAAAAAAAATTTTAAGTGTTAATATTTTTTTAATATTAAGTTCTGACCAAATTAATGGTACTTTAAATTATCCTTATTTTAAATGAGTATTGGTTTTAAAAGAGTCTACTGTATAACAATATTGTTCTTTAATAAATTGTTTTATTTATTTATTTTTTTAAATTCATATTCACATCTTGTTTCCCTGATGGAATTTTGCTGCTAATTTCTAAAATATATGTTGAAATTTTAATAAAAAATTTATTATATTTCTGTAAATTGAGGTTTTAGTTAAATTTTATATAATGTAAAAAATGTTGCATCATGATTCATGATATAAAAATAAATATTTTTTAAATGGATAAAATTTTAGTGATTCTTCTTTTCTTTTTTAAATTTTTTAAAAATTCTTCTTTTGGTTATGTTGTTTTATGTCTTAATTTTTTTTCAGGAACTTATTAACTGATTCCAACGTGATACTTAAATACCAACATCTTATTACAAACAGCTTTGTCGAGGTAAGAAAAAATTACTCTTTTAATCTTTTTATTTTGTAATGTTTGTTTCAATGTATATATCTTTTTTCTAAACTTGAGTGGTGACATCAATATTTATTCTAAAATTAATTTTGTTTTCCGAAATTCCATGATAGTATGTCTATTTACTTTTTCTCCTATTCCATTTTATGTCTTGAATTAAACCAATTTGTTTATTAAGCAAACCAGTTTGTTTTTTGTTTCATTTGTTGTTGTTTTAAGTTATCACAACTTACAAACTTATTCATTCTAGGCATATACTTAATCATTTACTTTAATTGCTATTTTATAGAGTTGCATGATATTATTCTCATTTATTTAATTTTAGTTTCTCCTTTTTCATGACAAACAATTTTTTATAACTCTCTTATTCTTTTGAAAATGCTCGACTTGGCAAAAATAAATAATGTTTTGCTCTATGTGAAAGAATGAGATTTTTTTCTCTTTTAAATCATTTTTTCCTTCTTCTGTTTTTGTTATCCTTTGAGATTTTTTTTTTGTTGTTATTTTTATGAGAATTATATATAATATTTACCTGTGTCAAAAAATTTCTGTTAAATCCATCTATTAATAAGAATTACAGTCAGATGTTGACAATTTCTGAAGTGTCTTATTAAAAGTTCATTTCAGAAGATACTTTTATTTAGTAATTTAATTTTCTTTAATTAAAAAAAGTGTCATATTTCATTATACTTTGAGTGTCTTTCAAATGCTTTATTTTCTTAATCATTTCCTTTCACATAAAAATGTTTAAAGAGTTTGTTTTGCTATGTATGTAATGCATTTTATAATTAGCATCCTATCTAGCATTTTTTAAACAAAAATATACTTGGTTGATAAATTTGCACAGAGCAGTTTTCTTAATTGTTTATCAAGGAAATCAACTTAAGTTTCTTTTATGCCATTGAACAATATTATTTATCATAGCTTATTTTATTTTTAGCAAGTGCCTTTGATAAGTTTATCCTTTTATTTTATAAAACTTGTTCTGATCAACATCAAATTACAATTTTTTTTATCGGGGTCAATTTTTATTTAATAGTTGCACATTCTATGATGTTTATCTTTCATTTTTGTCTGTGAAACATTTGAAAGATCAAATATTAGAAAATCACTTGAACACATTTGTTTTTCACTCTATAAGATATGATAACATATATAAAAAAAATCTCAGATTGAATAGGAGAATTTTTTTTTTTCAGAAGATTTTAATTTCACAGTAGATAAATGTATTGTAACTGGTAATTTAAATTGATAATTTTCAGGAGTTACTTGTGTCTTGACTGTAAATAAGTATTGCACCTACTTATAATTATTTCGTTTTAAATTCAATTTAGGTTTCTTTTATGGTGTTGAACAATATCTTCCATCTTAGCTTATTTTATTTTCTGCATTTGTCTTTGAAATTTTTGATCTTTTTATTTTGTAATATTTGTTCTAATTTTTCAATCATGTGGACAATCAATGGACATCAAACTGCAATTTTTTTAACAAGTTCAATTTTATTTAGTAATGGCATTTTATATTAATGTTATCTTTTGTTTTTGTATGTAACCCATTTGGAAGATCAAATTTTAAGAAAACACTTTTAACACATTTTTCACTCAATAAGATATGATAACAAGAAAAAAAGAGAAAACTCAGAACTGTCAGAATAAGAAAATTTATTAATATTTTTTTTATCTCCAAAAGAATTTGATTTTTCAATATATAAATGTAATGCAACTCATAAGTTAAAATTGATAATTTCTTGTGTCTAAAAATTACTTCAATATAAATAAAACATACCTGCCAAGTCTCCTGTTTTTAAACTGAGACTCCTGTATTTTACGACTATCTCCTGTTTCCCAATATATTCTCAAATTTCTCCATACTTGTTAAAGAAATTTTTAAACAAAAATTTTAGCTATAAAATATCTGCTTATGGCAAAAATACTTCTCTTATTCCTCAACAGTTAATACAATTGCCAGTATTGCAGTATGTTGAATATTAATAGTTTAAGTAAAAATATCCTCAGTGGTCAATGGATCATGGGTTAGAGTCGTAATTCTAATAATGGTTTAAAAACCTTTTTTAGATTAAGAGTTATCTATATATTTTTTACCTCGTTAAATGTAAGTGCTTATATTTCCAATTTTGACTTGCCTGATGGTGCATGATGTAAAACTTTACTAACTGCTTAAAAAAAATCGCTAGTAAATTCTCCGTTATTTCATTTTTCCAATGTTAACAGGTATTAAATTAGTTTCAAATAAAATAACTCATGTCATTGAATGTATATAAATCCTTTAATTCTCTTCCTTTTCTTTAGCGAACTTGTACTTCTAAAATAGTTTATTATTCACAACTTTTGTTTCTACATTTCAGTGTAATAGACTACTGAGGTGGTGTCCACAACCAGAATGCAATTACGTTATTGCCGTACAATATGTGGATGCACAGCCAGTAACATGTCGGTGCCGGCATACTTTTTGGTAATGCCAAATTACATTTGTTTTTCATTCCATTCATATTTTAAAATGTACAGTGCTCATCTAAATTATTTAAATATTTTTTACCCTTTCACTTTTGTAATATAACATTTGCAATTTATAACATAGTTATGACAGACAATTTCAATGTCTTCGCTAAAAAAAAAAAAAGGAGGGTTTTTCTAAGCCCCCTTTTTTTCAGAAAGAAATTTCCTTACCTCGTATTTTGCTTAAGCGCAAGATGAAAAAAATTTTATATTCTTAATGGACACTGTGCCAAAAAAAAATAATAAGTATAAAAGAATTTAATAATTTTTTATCTAATACTAGGATACTAAAATGCAATTATGCTAATTCAGGTACTAAAACTATAGGGTAGGAACTCTTTCTTAATGACATGCAACCTAGTATGTGATATCTGGCACATGTTTCTGACAAAAAACAAATTGAAGTTACTAGCTTCCTATCTTCTAATTGCCACATAACATGAAGATGTCCCCTAAGAGATAAGATCCCTAAAGATTCTCTGCCATTGGTGATTAGAATGTAGAAAGCTAGTGAGCGCAATTTGTTTGGGTTAAAAACACATACGAGATGTCACATGCTAGGCCGTGTGGCAGTAAGGAATTAATGCTAGCGTCAGCATAAGGTTATTTTAACAGACTAACCTTATGCTTGTTAACTAGTTTGTGTACATTATATTTTAGGTTACAAAATCTGACACAAAAGCTTGATTTCTCTCCATGTATATTCATATATTAATATTGTTAATACTAACTTAGCTAATATTAAGAGCTGAAACTCAAAAAAAAATTTATGGAAAATAGGTCCCTTCACTTAACCTGTTAAGCAAGATATATCGCCAAAGGTGGCACTAGTATTACTTAAAAATTGTTTAACTTAAATTTTTCTTTGTTATTTAAAAATTCTGAGACCAGAATAATAATATGTGTTTCATACCGTAACAAAATATAATTATGTTCTGATAATTGTTCTGAAACATCGAAAATTCCTAAATAACTTAAATGCATAAAAATATTGTTAAAAGCATATAGCCCTTAGCTCTTAATAATGTTTATTTGAGTACAAATGTTCATATAACTAAGCTTTTGACAATCTTCATCACTAATGAATTATAGAACATTTTCTATTTGCACTAATAAGAGTCTGACTGCTGTCTTCCTTTTATGTAATAATCTGCCTTTTGTGTATATTATCTTTTCTTTAAAGTAAGTGTATTGTTCTTAATCATACTCAATATATTTTGTAGCTTTGCTTGTGGAGAAAATTGGCATGATCCTGTTAAGTGTAATTTATTAAGAAAGTGGCAAAAGAAGTGTGATGATGACAGCGAAACATCAAATTGGATCGCTGCTAACACAAAGGTTAATGAATACTTCTTAACTAGCTGGGTTTTTTTCTGAACTATATAATAAACATAATGACAGGAACATTTTTATAATCTTGTTTAATGTTATGATAAACTATGATCAGCATTGATACATGGCTTAATTTAAGTAATTTTTTGTATAACTCTAGAAATACAAGATATTAAAAATAAATGGAACATAGTAGGAGCTCCAAGAAAATTTTTATTTTATCTTGCAAACAATTTTATATCTGTCATTTTTAATAAATGGCACACATAATGTCAGCAAGTATTTGGGCAAGGAAAAAAAATTAATGATCAAATGATTTGGAAGTAACTAATCTGAAATGTGAGTGTTTAGATGAATTTTTATAGATTGTTTGCCTTTAAGCACATTAATATTACTGTGGTGTGTAAGTGCAAATTATTACTTGTGTGTTGTGCATTTGTAATATGAATCACAATATATGATTTGTAAAACTGGTAATAGGATAAAAGAGGTGTGACTTAGTTATAAGGATACAAATAGCAATGCAGTGTTTTAAATTGCATTATTGGATTGGATGTATGATTAACAAATTATGATTGCTTCAGTATAAAAATATGAATCATGATGTGTTATTTCCAATTAAACCTAATTATCTTTTCTTGTAGGAATGTCCGAAATGCAATGCAACCATTGAAAAAGATGGGGGTTGTAACCATATGGTGTGCAAAAATCAGAATTGTAAGTCAGATTTCTGTTGGGTATGTCTTGGACCATGGGAACCTCATGGGTCTTCATGGTAAGTGATGAAAAAAATTAATAAGTTCTCTTCTAACAGTGTGTGAATTGTATTTGTCATCAAGTTTTTTATGATCCAATTGTCTTAAGACTAAGACTAATGAAATTGTTATATGGTTATAACATTTGTCTTTGAAGAAAGCACCAGAACATATAAGTTAAGTTAATTTAATAACGTAATTATATCTTAAAATGTAAAAGGTAATTCCCAAATTAAAATCATTTTATATAAAATCAATTGTAATTTAAATTTTATAGCTAATAACATAAATGATTGCTGAATAATCATTGTTGATGCAAATTACTAATAAAGCAAAAAAATATTAAACTCTTCATTTTTTTTTTACATGTATCAATTTAATACAAGTGCTCCAAAAAAGGATAATTTAAATTCGAAATTTGTATATCCTAATATTACATAGTTTGAATAATCAACTGGAAAATGTTTGAAAAAAACTGAAGAGCGATTGAAAAGAAACCACCTGAAAAAAACCGATCAGAAACGTTACGGAATGTTGTCAACATTTCACTAATAACATGGTGCGTAGCATTTTTAAAAAGTGCTTAATGGTGCTTATTTTCATTTTGAAAAGCCCTGAAGGGTGCTTTTTTTCATTGAGTGTTTTTTTAGAAAGTGCTTAATTTTCCCTTTTGGAAAATAAGATTTTTTTCTTTACCATGTCGATTTTTGCCACGTATAATGCAAAAGCATGCTTTTCACATTGTTCTATTCAACTTATTCACACTCTATTTCGGCATACCATTGGTCTATAGCGTATGAAAACATCATTTTACATGTTTGATTAAATGGTTGCAAGTTCGCATGTGTGTCAACTGAGCTGGGTTCTGTGAGATTCAATTTCAAGCTTCATTTTGCACCCTCTGAAGTTGAACCGAAAAGTTTCTTGATCATTTTATAATAGCAAATATAATTAAGAAAAGAGTTCTTTGTCGGAAACTAGTTATTTTATCATGATCAGGTAAAGTCTTTGAAAATAATTTTGCATTTATTTTATGTATATAGTGCTTTAAAATATTTTTGAGTGCTTAAAATGTTTTTTTGCTATGCACCCTGAATAAAACAGCAGTATATCTAGTTAGAACCATAACAAAATTTAAACTTTTTTTTTATAATTGACTAATTGCATGTATGTAATTGACCAGCATTACCTTCAGCGGCATCCATTTTTATTGGCACAGGTCATCGGGTGAATGGGCACAGAAAGCCCATTCACCCGATGACATGAACCATCATGTGGCTGTACCAAATGAATGATGCAAAGTATTAGTAGAAAAGAAAAAAAGAATAAGAACAAATGCTGCCAAAAAAATCCATGAAAATTTGTTTAAGGGTCATAATTTTTATTTTCCTCTGACCTATTAGACACTGCCTGAAGTTATAAATCTCTATCTCTTAACAATGTTTTGGTTATTTTTAATAAAATAACAATTTATAAACCAATAACTATAACAATTTTTAACACTTGTTATATAATATAGACATATATCTATAGATAATAAGATTTTTCTGTTCAAATATCAATGTAATTTTTAAGGTAAAATTGAAGGAAAGTTTAATCAAAACTTGTTTTAGGTATAACTGTAACCGATATGATGAAAGGGAGGCCAAATCAGCAAGAGATGCCCAAGAAAAGTCGCGTGCTGCTCTGCAGCGGTATCTGTTCTACTGCAATCGTTACCTAAACCATATGCAGAGTTTAAAATTTGAACACAAGGTAAGCACTTTCTTCTATTTATGTTTATTAGATTCCTTCTTAGGTAATAATTTTTATTAAATCGCTTATTATTAATATATTTTTGTTTTTGATTTCTAGCTATATGCTTCTGTTAAAGATAAAATGGAGGAAATGCAGCAACAAAACATGTCTTGGATTGAAGTTCAGTTTTTGAAGATAGCTGTAGACATCCTATGTCAGTGTCGGCAAACGCTTATGTATACTTATGTTTTTGCCTATTATTTAAAACGGAACAACCAGTCTGCTATTTTTGAAGTAGGTTTGCTTATGATTATTTAAGAACTGTAATTGTTTTAGCGCAATTTTTTAGAATTATGCCCATCAATTAGTAACACAGTAGAACAAAGTTTTTGTTGCAGTTATGCAATTTCATAATCTTAACTAATTTGGATGTGGGGATTTCAAATCGACTTTTTGTTGAAGTTTACAAGTTTCAAATTGTTAAATAAAACAGAGAGTCATGTAAATGTTGCAGCAAACGTCTAGGGGAATTATTTTTTATCATCAGGATTAAAATTGCATTGGAACCCCAGGAAATGCTGTCGAACGCAAGTAGGAGCACTTCCTAATTATGACCTGCTCGGAAGCACACGAAGAAACCGTTCGTAATAGAAAAAAGGCGACTGACAACATTTCTGGGCATGGGTTCCTATGCAGTTTTAATCCCGATGATATGCCCAAATTCTCTTATAAGTTTGACATAACATTTACAAGATCCTATGTTATATGTAACGTTCTAAACTTACACAGTTCAACAAAAAATTGACTAAAAATGTCATTTAAAAAAACTGTAGCATTTACTTTAAAAAAAATGTATAGATAAATTTAAGGTTTTCATCGCTTATTGCATGCAATAATGAGACCATCAATACTTATTAATACTTTCATAGCAAATACTCAGACTGCAAAGAGGTTTTGAGTAAGCAAAATGTTTTAAAAAGTTGTATGCATCAGTTTAGCCAAAACTTCAAAAATTATATTGTTGACATTTTATTGTTTTACTATAAATATTTAAAAATAAGTTAGTTATTTACAATTTCTGTTAGTTATGTGCGAGATCTCTTTCTCTCCGAGTGTTTCTATGAAATTCTCGATAAAACAGTTTAACAAAACAATTGTAAGGTATTTTAATGTTCAATTTACATTTAATATATCATCCCCAAAAATTAAGATTAACTTTATATTTTAAAATGTTTTAAAGTTGAAAAATGTTGCAAGAAATTTAAAAAAAAAAATTTTTTTTTTCTCAAGAAAATTCTATTACCTATAATTTAAAATTGCAGATTCCAAATCAGCGATTAGCTCTGAAATCTGTTTTTAATAAACTCATGCAACAGAAAACAAAAATTTCTTCCCTAGTATTATCTATAAATGGTTTTTTTATTATTATTATTATTTATTTAGCATTTTCTAATAGCTTTTGGTTACTATTTATTTGACTTGTTTATTTCATATGCTTTTTCATGTACTCATTCATTTAATGTGCTAATTCTTCCTTTCCGTTGCACTTCCTCCATGTATAGATAATATTATATAATTTAGAGCTTATTTGATGTAATATAAATTGTAATTTTTAGACTGATAATTGTAATTTTTAGAAAAAACTTTGAAAAGAAATTAATTGCCTTTTAATTTATCAGAACAGTTCAGTTTCTCTTTGCCATCATATACAGAATGTTGCTCTTGTTTTACAAATTTGCTACAACGTTTGAATTAAGGACTTGGAGCAATTTAGTGATAGGCTACATTTTCAAATAGTGCAGTATAACATTTTTTTATTAAAAACAAAAAACACTATTTTAACATGGTTGAAATTGCGATTTAAATCAATTGGGTTTTTTTTTAAACCATTTATCAGCTTGATATCAGCTGATTTTTTATTTTAAAAAATTAGTTGTTCTAAAAAAAATCTTGGATTTAAGTAGAAAATATTTTAAGTATGATTTTATTAATATTGAAGATTTTATGCAAAGAAACAAAGTTTAAATTATTATTTGATGTTTAAAATAGACTAATAATAATAATGATAAAGTGATGAGTAAAGATAAATTAGTTTGTAAAAATATAAAAAATTTAGCCAATTTAATAGGAAGATTTTTTAGATAATACATATTTAGCATTACTAATGCCTTTCGGAGGTTTCATTGGCAAGTGCAAAAAATTATTATTTTATTTTTATATCATGATTTTGTGAACCGTGTTTCAATAGCAGTAAAAGGTTTAGTTGTTCCATGATGATATAGATTGCTAAGATATTTCATTGAGCTGTTATACAGTAATCATTTTGTAAATATAAAAAATATATGTCTAGAAACAATACTAAGGAATAGCTTGATATAAAATAACCACCTTGAAAGAAATTGGCATGTTATTAAATAGCCTTGAACCCTTCAAATATTGCATAATTATGTCTTACATGCACCTGTAGTTATATTATTATAAAGCCTCCATGTTTATTGAATAATATTTAATTTTTATATTAAAGCACAATCAAAGGGACTTAGAAAGTGCAACCGAGACATTGTCTGAATACTTGGAAAGAGATATTACACAAGAAAACCTTTTAGATATCAAACAAAAAGTTCAAGACAAGTACAGGTAACACAGTTGATTATCAACTTTTTTTCATTCTCTCTCTCTGTTCTCGCTCTTTGTTCTGTTCACAATAATTTGAGTTTAAGATGCATTTGACTTCTAAGAAAATTATTAGAAACACTTTAATTTTGAAAGTGGGCACTATATTTGTTTTGACATGAATGAAAATTTATAAAAAAAAATGTTTTCTTTTATTTATTTTTTTAAGCTGTGAAATTTAAAAATGCAGTTTTTAAAAAATGTTTTGCAGCAAAATAAAAAAAAAAGATTTGTACAAATTTTTTGTAAGATGATGATTTTATTTTTCTATAGGTGTAGGAGTATTTCTTTTTCTCTAAAAGGTATACCTGAATTTTAAAAAAAATAATTGAAATAAATATCTAAGTTTAACCATTTACTGAATGCTTTTCTTTTTTTTCACAAAATGGAAAACAAATTTGTGAAGTGCAAGTACTGTCTTAAGATAGATACAAACCATAATAGTGAGAAAAGTATTGCATTTTGTTGATCAAAAATCTGGGTTTAGGTTTGGTGGATTTGGTGATAAAGTTGTAGTTTTTATCTAGTACAAACCATAATAGTGAGAAAAGTATTGCATTTGGTTGATCAAAAATCTAGGTTTAGGTTTGGTGTATTTGGTGATAAAGCTGTAGTTTTTATCTAGTAACAAAAATTTTAATTTGAGGATAGATGAAAATTTAGTTTATATTTAATGGCAATAACAGGCATTATACAAATTTTTGAATTAACTAAAGTAGGTAAATAATTGATAGTTCTGCATTGAATGAAAATTTAAAATGATTCTCAAATTGGGATTTTAAAAAATCTGTAGTTAAATGGTCAAAAATTATGAGAATAAAGTTCCATTTTAACTTTGAAGAAGTATTTTATGATTTAGTAAATTTTTTTCACCAAAATTTTTAAAATAATCTTCAAGCTATTGTTTATATTTAAACATTGTCTGATTTTCTTGTTACTAAATCATATCATTTATACCACCGCAAAGCAATCAACAAATTTTCTATGCAATCAAATCTACAAATTTGTCTCTTGGACAACTACTCTTTGCTAAATGCATAAATATGAATGTTACAGCTAAGTAGTCAAATTTAGAATAGTATATGCTTTTATTGTGTATCTGTTCAGAATTTAAAAAAGCATTATATAACAATAAAGTAGAACTTAATTCTTAACTTTTAAACCAAAAATGTTATTGTATTTTTTTTAAAAAAAAAAAAAAGCATTCAGTTGAAGAAAGAAAAAAAAATTTTCCTTTCTTAGAACTTTCTGATTAGTTCATGATTCTGATAAGTTTCTAAGTAAATTGAGTAAATAAAGTCAATATCGAGTTGGCAAGTACCCTTTTTTTTTAAAAAAGAAAATTTAATTTTCGAAAGCCTGTTTTTTGTCTTTTGTTGTCGTTGAAAGCCTGTTTTTTGTTTTGCCTGTTTTTTTGTCGAATGTTGCTAATTTTAATAAAAAGGTTGGTTTGATCGAACTCAACTGGACGACCAAAAGTTCCATTTTCAGCGAAATACAGTCATGTTTCAACATACAGTTCTTTCAGCTTCTACACCCTCTCCATTCACAGCACAAATGTCTTAATCAGCTTTTGCAACCTTAGAACCTTGATTAACATAATGGTGTTGAAAGTATTCATGTTTTTCAACTTAACATTCCATATTAATGATTTGAACAGCAACTTAAATTCCAGTATAACAAAAGGTCTTCTTTTGTATGATCTAAAACGTTATCTTTGAAATAATGACACATGGAATGTTAAAATTTTAAACAACAGGAACTTAGTTGCCAACAAAACAAAAACAAATTTAACCATGTTTGATTTTTAAAATTTTGATATTCAGTTGTTGAACATAAACTTATATTCCAGTAGAACAAAACCATCCTTTTTTTGTATTATCTAAAACATTATGCTTAACTTATGTGGAATGTTTAGAAAAAAGAAACAAGAAATTAGTTCCCAATTTTATTGCATTGCATTAGCAAAGAAAAAAATTGAACTCTTTGATTTTTGACATTCAGTTGTAGAATAAAAACATAGATTCTGGTACCAAAAAAAAACATCCTCTTTCATATGATCTGAAACATTATGCCAAACATATTTGATAACTTGAGTTGCTGGAAAAAGAGAAGAAAAAAATTGTTAACCCAATAATATTGCATTAGTAAAATAAATTGTTTATTTTTTAAAATTTTAATATTAATACAGATTAAAAACTTAGATTCTGGTAGGAAAAAATATCCTCTTTATGTGATCTAAAGCAGTGGCTGCTAACTGGCGGCCCGCAAGGCCTTTTTTTTTTGTGGTCCGCTAACTAAAATATATTAGTTGTCATTTTTTTTGCAAACAATTTTCGTTACAAATTTGTATGGGTTTATTTAAAATACTTTTCTTTCGTTTAAAAAAAAAAAGTTAATTTATTCATTTCTGTGTACATACCAGGGTGCAAAAAAAAAATTTTTCTCAGGTTTTGCATCCAAGAAAATATTTATTATTATTTGTAATTCAATACTTTTGTTTTGATCACTTGAGAAAAATCTGACAGTAATATTTAATGTTCTTTCAAACATGAAAGAGTCCTATATAAAATTTTGACAAAGTTGCGGCCCGCCATTTGACTGGTGTTTTTATTTGTGACCTCCGGTCTCATGTAAGTTGGAAAACCCTGATCTGAAGCATTATGCCAAACATATTTGATAACGTGTAAAATGTTAAAATTAAGAAGAAGAAAAATAAAACAGGAATTTAGTTGCCAACCCAATTAATATGCATTAGCCAAAAAAATATATTTTTTTTAAAAAATTTGATATTTAGTTGTTGAATAAGAACCCTTTAAGTTGCTGTTGTTACAAAGAAATATTTAAATTACTAAAACAATTTTTCTTGTACATATTTTCTTCAATTTCCTTCTAGGTATTGTGAAAGTCGGTGCAAAGCGCTGCTGGAGCATGTGCATGAAGGTTATGAAAAAGACTGGTGGGAATATATCGACTGAGATTTTCATTACAAATCTCCAAAATTTCTTACAGAAGCTAAATTGTTGCATAGACTGAATCATACATTGACTGTTAAAGAAATTCCCCACGTCCAATGAAAAAAGGAGAAAAAAAATTTTTTTCTCAGTAGGATAAACAATACTGCCACAGACAATAAACTTTGTATTTGTGTGTGTGTGTGCGTGGACGCGCAATAAGTGGATGAACAGATTCGACTCTCGGGGGAATATTTTTTGATTCCTAACAGCTTTACTTCAGATAATTTAATAAAATTGAATTATTGTACCCTCTTTGAATTTTTGATTTTTTTTTTCTTCAAAATATTGTATACTCATTTCAAATTACTTTTATTTGATAAGATAATAATTATTTTAATACTCAATAGCTGCTAGTTTATTGTAGAGAACAGCAGAATATCAATTCTGATGAAGTACAATAATTAAAAACACGCATATTAATTTAAAGAGTGAATAAGTTGAGGTATTGCATGGTTTTTAAATTCTGTTTGAAATTGATTTTGTATACTTTTTATTGAAATGGTTATGTTTCAACACTTGATACCAGAATAAGTGTATAAAAAACTACCCCTTCTTGAACAATTAAAATAATGAATAATTTTTAATTTATTTATTATACACTCTTGATCGTTTGTTTGTTTCATTAAATAAAGTAGTTGAAATTGATTTAAAAAAAAGTCCTGTTTTTTATTCTTATTAGTTATTTTAATCAAATTATAATTGCCATTATAGCAGCTTATGTGACACGGAAAAGCATGCACAGCAGAATCTCAACTAATTCAAAACTTGTTATGGTGTAGATTTGCTTTTATTAAATAAATTTTTTAGTTACGCAACTATAAAAATGTTTTACTCAGGCTACCAAAAAAATTACAAGTTCCTTTTTTTTATTTTTAAATAATGAATAAAATTTGGTTACTGTTTCAATTGCCTAGTTGTTGAAACATATGTTTATTGAACCATTTAGTGCAATAGTTGCTCAGCTCTAAAAAATTATACAAGTATGAACAAAACCATAACAAGCTTCTACTATATTAATTATACAAACCATAACAAGCTGTAATTTATTTTTTTTAAATCACTTTTTGTTTTTCTTTGATACTTACCAGATATTTGCATGTTTCTTTTAAAGACTCATTTGTAATAAGAATGTAGAAATGAAGGAATATAGTAACTCATACTCAAAATTAAGTAAATTACAAAAACAAAACAAAAAATAATAAAGTAAATATTTTTTTGCAAAAGGAATCTTTGTGCAACACCTATTAATTTCAGAGAAATTTAGGATTTTGCCAAACTCACATTAAATGTGGATTGTAAGTGGTTCAATTACTCCTTCTCTAATGCTGTCAAATTCTTCGTTTTACAAACGTTTGATCAAAATGCTGGTGCAGCAACTGGAAGTGATAGCGAATGTATTCACTTTTGCAACTACAAGTTGACCTGTAAATAACCAGAGTCTCCTCTTGGCGAGTCAACAAAAAAAAAGTGGCAAATTGAATTAAATGAACAACTGGTCTTTTTATAAGTTGTTTAATGATAAAAATAAATCAATGCGCAACAGAATTTTCATTTATATGTCCTGTGTCTCCATTCAAAATTTTCAGAAACTATCAATTTGTGATAGAAAGATTCATGTGGAAGAAGAGTTTTTTTTAACTACTCATGTTACCTAAAGTTGTAAAGAATGCACATTAAGTGTATTTCGCCTCCCTAAATATTTTTAAAAGAAGTTCTGTAAAGTCAGTATGTTTAACTAAATTGTTTCTCATATTTTGAATATGAAATTTTGTTTTTAAAAAAAAATATAAAGTTTGCAAAAAGGGTCTATTAAATAAAAAAAGACCTATCAATATAGGTCACAGACTCATTAAGTTAAGTGGCTACTGATCGAAAATTTAAATTTTCAGGTCTAACTACCACCCCTAATTTCCAGTTGTCAACCAAACTTTGATAAGGTTTTTGTATTAGATGAAACATTTAGTAAAAAATTGCTTTGTTAAACTGATGGTAAAATTCCGGTTTGTGATAAGTGTATTCTGTTTTAACAAATAAAAAAAAAACCATGTAACGGGTTCTGCTTAAATATTATTTGTTGGGAATAACTCAAATTAGGTTTATTTGTAGTTGTGTACTCTCCACATCTTAATAATCCAATTTCTTTTCTATTACATAGGACTTGCATCTGTTAGTATAATTGAGATTCTGCTGTTTTTCAGTTTTATATATCTTATAAGGAGCTATTTAAACAAGATACAAAAGTTGAGTTGTTTTAAATAAATTTGATTTTGGTATTGTTTCTTAGCTAGTACATCTTAAAATTTATTTATTAAAACTTATGCATTATGTGAAATGAAAACTAAATGTTTAGTGTTGTGAATTATGAATGAAAATATTTTTCTTCTTTTACAATTGATTTTTTTCTCTCTTTTTTTTCATTAAGAAAAATGAATCGTTGTAATATACTAAAACTTGTAAATATGATATATTATAATTCATGTTGTTTTATTAATAATTAATTTTTTGTTGATTATTTTTATAAACTACTCTATTTATCAAATTACTAAAAACTTCATTATCTCCTAAAATTATTTATAAAAGCTTTAACTGTAATGAATTGAGTGTGGTGCTGTATGTTAAAATAAAAATTAAAGCTTTTTATTAAACCACTAAAATTCTGCATAAATAAACCATAGTTTATTATGAATTGGTTAGACTTGTGTGAAACCAGTAAAGAAATTCTCTTTGTTCTGTGTGCGGCATTAAAAACTCAGAAAATTAGAGTTAGAATTTTTTTATTGTATACGTATAAGACTTGCTTCGAAACAGGTGCACCACATTTAAAAAAGAATCCATTGGGGCGCATTTAAAATTGTTTATCTGTACAAAAAGTTGTAATGAAGTTGGACTGTGGTTTATCATCCGAATAAAGTTCTTATTTACATTTGTCTTGTTTCTTTAGGTTGTGGCGTAACTACCACTACAAATATTATATACCAAATCACTAGTATATAAGACATGTTGACTCGATTCTATCCTGAGGTACCTTTTGATAGTTGAAGGTTGACATAGTCGATAAATAAATCCCCTCAAGGTGCAGCCTTCAGCTTCTTCAACTTGCATGTTAACACTTAAGTGTGTAATCTTGGGTGTGTCACAATTTCTTAAGGAGTTTGGAAAGCTTATAAAGCCTTTCTAAGATATATTTATGGCATTACATCAAAAATTATGTGTTTGTATCCCCTATGCCTTGTGATTTACAGAATTATGACAAGGGATCACTACCATTAAGGGTGACATGTTGCAGTGAGTGTGGCAAGAATTTGGCTTTAGACTAGAAATCTGCAGGGCTGATTGTGCTCTGGAAAAAATCTGAATTTTTCACTAACAGTGATCCGGAAATCGAAGGGCCAGGCGTTTCAAAAAATCATTGATCACAGCAGTTTCCGTAAATCAAATTTTCAAAGATGGAACTTAAAACCACAGTTTATTTTATTTGTTTGTAAGTGAGAGCCAGATACTTTATAAGCTTATATCCATGATTAATATACATTTTTTATCAGTAAATAGTTATTATAATCGTAAACTCAAGAAAGAAAGACATGTTTGTACATTTTAATTACTTCTCCAGGTCATCATAGGTGTGTGTAAATAGTATAGGTAAAATTTTAAATATATTTTAAGTAAACTAAGAAATATTGGGAAAAAGGAAAAAAACCTTGTTTAAATTTTTTTCAATTTAAGTGTCGTTTTTTTTTTGTTTGTTTTTTTAACTCAAGAAATGTTTTGGAATTTTAACTTGGGCTCACAATCACCCTTGAATCTGTCTTAGAATTCCAAACCCTGTAGGCCATTGTGACGCACCTTGTACTACACATACAATTTGTAATGTGTTGAATTGAATTACAGGATTTATTACAATTAAATTGAATCCTATGATTAAAACACCTTAATTCTTTTAACAGTTGTCTTTATGCAGAAAAAAAAATTCTTTTCCTGTGTTGACGTATGGATAATTATATGAACGTCATTTCCTCATTAATTCAAAAACTAATTTATATATTTTTTGTTCTATTCTATTCCTCGAAATGTGCTCTGTCGAACATAGTTTCCGGATTATAATTTTTAGTTAGTGTGTATTTTTAAAACTTTTTCAAATTTTAAGTTTAAAAAATATTTACAACCTTAAAATTTCGTTCGATAGTATACATTTCAATGAACAAAATTTTTTAAAAAAACTGGCTACTAAATAAATGAAGAAATTGCTTTCATATATGACATAAGCTCATGAGCATAAATCGTATGCATTGGGTAGTGAGAATGGTCCATTACGTATTACTGCCAGATAGTCATAGACTTTACTTATGTTATAGTAGAAAGTGAAATTAATAAAATTCTCGAACTGAAAGTAAGCAAACTTTTTAAGCTAATAAATAATATTTCATCAAAAGGTTAAAATATGAAACTTCACTTTAATAATCGTTTCTTGCAATCGTCAAAGGAGAAGTTGCTGGAATGTAATTTACTTTAAGTGATGTTGATGCATAATAATTAATGTAATCACATTATTTCAGAAAATGAAAATAATAAAATTCACGAATTGAATCTAAAAAAAAGTCACTCAAGTTATAGGAACAAACTAATATTCTATGCATTAAAATCACGTTAAAGATATCACTAAAATGAAAACATAAGTCAAAATAAATCAAATAAACTAAATCACAATTATTGTAATATTTGACAACCGAGACTTTGCGTAAATGTAACAGACTTTAAACAATTAAAATGACACATATGAATTTATAGTTTGTAAAATAACGACAGAGTGGAATTAATAAAAATTTCGACCTGAAACTGTTAAGTTACTTAGACTTAGAGGTTGGGCAGCTCCAAAGAGCAGGGCACATCGACTAGAGGTCTATTATACCCAAAAACTTTCTGAACTAATAAATAATATTTCATCAAATAATTACTACTGAAGTAAAAAAATACATAAACAAAAAATGTGGAACTAGCATAATTGCAATTGTCAAAGGAAACATTGTTAAAATGCAATGTAATTTTAGTAATGTTAATAAAAATTCATGCAATCACATTTCAGAAAGTGACAATAATAAAATTCACGAATTGAACATAAAAAACGACGCAAGTAATCTGTATTAAGAATCATTTTATGCAATGAAACCACCCACAATAGTAACAATTTAATAGAAAATGATAATGAAAGATAAGACACTGCAATATATCACTAACGATATATTGCAATAATCACATATGATACCGTGTAAATTAAATGCCCAAGAAATATTGCAATTTAAAAGAAATAATACAAATAGAATTTTAGAAAGTCAAACGAAAAATTTTCACGAACTGAAAAAGAAACAAAGCGAGCAATCTGACTGAAGTATTATTTTGTCTCATAAGATCTTCCTCAAAAGTCTCAATTTAATGGAAAATAAAAGTGGCAACAATTACAAAATTAAGAAGAATTAAAATACCACTATTGATAATATATTGCCTATGTCACTTGGACATTGTGTAAATGAAATACACAATAATTAATGCAAAAATAAATTGTAGAATTAAAATTTCAGAAAGTGAAACTAAAATATTTCAGAAACTGGAAAATAAGGAAACAAAGCAAATAATCTAATTTAAGGATTTTTTTTTTGCCGATTTAATCATTCATAAAAGTCTAAATTACGTCGTAAAGAAACATTACAATAGCAAAATTTAAAAGAATTAAAATTGCATTAATAATATATTGCGTTGTGTAAATAAAATGCAAAAGAAATATTAAAATAAAATAAAAGAATTTTAGAAAGTGAAACTAAATATTTTCATCAACTGAAACTGAAAAAACAACGCAAGTAATATCTGATTTTGCAAGTGATATTATTTCAACTAGTACAATCACCCTCAAGAGTCTAAATTCAGTAGAAAATAAAAATAACAAAAGATAAAACAATGATTATATCGCTAACGATAAATTTCAATTATCATTCAAACACTTAGTAAATGAAATGCGCAAGAAATGATGCGAATAAATAATCAAATTTCAGAAACTGAAAATAAAAATAAACGCAAGCGATCTGACTAAGATTTTTATTTTATCCAATAAAATCATCCTTTAAAATTTCTATTTAATCGACGAAAAAATGACATCAATATTAAATTAAAAAGGATTAAAATGTCACTACTATATTGCATTTGTCACTAAGACACTGTGTAATTGAAATGCACACAAAATAAGTAACAGAAATAACGATAACAGAATTTCAGAAAGTGAAACTAAAAAATTTCAGAAACTGAAAAATTAAGAAACAAAGCAAGACTTAAGTATTATTTTATCTAATATAATCATCCATAAAAATGTCAAATTAATAGAAAATAAAAATTACAAAAAAAGTTAAAACAATGATAATATCACTAACGATATATCAATAATTATCAAATTAAATGTACAAGAAGTAATGCAAGTAACAGAATTTCAGAAAGTGAAACTAAAAAAATTTTAATTGAAGATAAGAAACAAAGCGAGTAATCTTACTTCAGTATTATTTGATCCAATAAAAGTCATTTCATAGAAAATAAAATTGTCAATAATAATGAAGTATAAAACAATTTAAATGTTACTAATAATATATTGCATTTGACATTTAGACTCTGTGTAAATTAAACACAAATAAATAAGTAAAAAAGGGCATGAAATTGAAACCATCATTTGAGAAAGTGAAACTAAATTAAAATAGCGAACTGAAAGTAAAAAGCAAGCATGACGTAAGTGATCGATTGTCCAATAAAAAGTCAGTATTATTACGTCATCTCAAGGTTTATATACGAGTTACATGTCAGAGCGAAGCGAATTTTCCAAACGGAAACATGGATCAGCTGTGAAATGTTAGAAGGATGAATGAAAAACGTTTGAGTCGAAAATGTAGTGGATTCGAAAATTAAGAGAAAAGGAAAGCGAATATTAAAAAACGTTTTAATGGCAGATCAAAAACGGTTCGGCTCTTATTGTAAACATGGCTACAAAAAGAAATTTTTCCGAGATCGTTATAAACATTGGGTAATTAATTATTTTATTTATTGACTTAATTATTTTTTCAATAAAGTCATACGTAAAAGTTTTCAGTTAAATCGAAAATAATAATAAAATCTTAAAAAATTAAAATATCACTAATATTGTATTGCATTTGTCACTATGACACAGTATTAATGTAAAGCACAAGAAATAATGCAAATAGCAGAAATCATAATAGAATTTCAAAAAGCTAAAAATCTTCAGGAATTGAATATAAAAGCACAAAAGAAGGAATCTGACTTAAGCATTATTTTATCCAATAATAATTAATAATAAGTCAAATTAATAATTTTCAATAATAATTAATATAAGACAATTAAAATATCACTAATACTACATTGCATTTATCATTTAGACGCAACGTAAATTAAATGCGCAGAAAAGAATGCTAATGAATAAGTAAACAAAGGTATAAAATGTATACGGAAACTGAAACCGTTATTTCAGAAACCGAAACCGTCATATTAGAAACTGAAACCATCATTTCAGAAACTGAAACCATTATTTCGGAAACCGAAACCATTATTTCAGAAACTGAAACCGTCAATTCGGAAACTGAAACTAAAAAGCAAGCATGACGTAAGCAATCGATCGTCCAATCAACAACCAGCATTATTACGTCATCTCAGTGCATTTAAACGAGCCACATCTGGAAATTTTTTCAGACGGACGCTTGATCAGCTTTGAAATGTTGCAAGGAGGAATGGCTGACTTTGAAGTAGAAGATGTTGTGGATTCAAATATTAAGAGAAAAGGAATATTTAAAGGAGTTTTCATGGCAGATCAGATACCAGCATCGCTTGAAAACAATTCGGCTTTTATTGTAAACACCGCTACAAAAAGGCATTTTTTCCGAGATCGTTATAAGCATTGGGTTGCATTTTACGTAAAGGACGAACATAATTTGGAATTCTTTGATTCTAACGGATGGCACCCGAACGATTACGGGGATTATTTTCAATCATTTATATCGAATCGTCGAGTTAGATACAATAAAACAAAATTTCAAGGCTATTCGAACTTATGTGGCGGTTACGCTTGCCTTTTTGTTATTCAAAAATGTAACGCGGAAGTTTCACTAAACCAAATCGTAAAATGGTGTAAAGATAAAATGCATAAAATCGGCTCTCTAACCCTTGACCCTTACGTTTATGATTTTTTGAGTAAACAAGATTTAGATGATATGAAAAGCCGGTTTTATTATGAAGAAATAAAAATAACCATTTTGAATTAATTTCTTGTAAAAAAAGGAAAATATAGTCTGCAAATTAATCGACAGAATGATATTCGAATTTAAGGTTTTTTGAGTAATTATGACAGTTTTCTTTCGATTAAATTTGGCTTGAAAATTTAATCAGTGAAATATTGTTACATTTTTGCAAACTTCGACGTATCAATGTATTTAAAATACAGACTTAGCAGAGGAAAATTAATATATGTCAGTATGTCACACACAATACAGAATTGAAGGATCGTTAATTTTCACATCTAAAAAACTTCGCTGAAACGTTGGCTACTATAAATCAGCAGCCAGATGTACGAGTTACTGAACCTTTAAATTTGATAAAGCCAGATGAGGAGTATTTTTAGAACATAATAACGAAAAGAAGAATATTTTTTAAAAAATTAATTTCAAAAATTTAAAGAACAACGAACGCTTAAGAAAATTAAACCTTGAAGAATAGTAATAAAAAACTTTAGAAGAAAAAAAAAACATAAAACTAAAAAGGAAAAAAAAAGACAAATTAGAAAAGAATAATAAAAAGTTCTTTTAAAAAATAGGATAAAACCTTTTAATGCTACCTAGAATAAACTATTATTCTAGAAGGTCCCAAGTCCTTAAAAAGTAGAGGGAGAGGTTATTATCTAAACAAACAGTCTTCATATCTCGTTTGTACTTCTTTTTCGTGGATGGTTAATCGTATAACGTATATTGTATCCGTCGTTGAACAGTTAAACCAATTTTAGATTTACGACTACTAATGTTCAACTCCGTAGCGTTGTAATTTTGAACCAATCCAGAAGATAAGGAAACTTCTATATCAGTACCCCCAGAGGTATTGATTTGTTATGGGAACATGGAGGACTTTGTGACTCGGCAGATTTAACGTGCACCAGTCACCATTTACTACACGGAGAGTCTTCAGCCGGCGGAGATCGAACCCACGAACTCTCGGACATTGGACTCATGATTTCTACTCCTAATTAAGTATTGAAACCTGTAAAAAAAATTCTAAAAGACTAGTCTATTATTAGCTTGTTGTTATTACATGCGTTTTAATGACATGGAGTCTAAAAAATTCAAAGATTGTACGTTTCTAATTCGCATTAAAATATAGTGCCTTGTAAAGTCTTAAAATAAATTTGCTCAAAACAAAATTGTGTTATTCTATAAATTATTGTTTTACACAAATCTCACACTTTTCTTGTTTTTTGGTTGAGGAATTTTTAACTAGGACAAAATTAGATAATTACATTCCGGTATAAGATGAGTGACATGTTTTACAAAGAAAAGGGGGGGGGATATATTATTTAAATTATAAGGAGTAAGGTTAGGTCCAATTTTTGGGTTTATGACTACTAATGCTCAACTCTGTAGCCTAACCAATCCAGAAGACAAGAAAACTCCTGGATCAGTATCCCTAGAGGTATGATTCCTTATGGGAACATGGAGGACTTGGTGACTCGGCAGATTTAACGTGCATCAGTCATCATTCGACCGGCGGGGAGCGAACCCACGACCTTTTAGACATGGACCCAGTGCCCTACCAACCAGGCTATCCCAGTCCTACGGCATTACATTTATTTAAAACTGCTATAGATTTTAATAAATATTTTTTTGGGGGCAAATTAAAAAAAAATTTGTGTGATAATTAATGTAAAACAATTCTAACAGCACCATAAATACACACAATTTTAAATGATTTAATGCAAACATTTTCTTTCCTCCTAAGAAACAAATTTATTTTACGTTTTCTTCTTATCCGAAGAAAAACTTCATTAAGAAAGGAAACTATTAAAAGTGAGATGTTATGATGACATTATGTACTACTTACGGTATTATGCACTACAGGTAATATGTTAATTGGTGCTGTTTTGATAAGAATTTTACAATGGATTCCTTGTAGTTTCAGAAAATATTTTTTCTTAATAGCAACAAAGATAATGTATTAATATTTTAATGAAGTAGAATTAAAAGAACTTCTTTTTAACGAACTTCCCTATTACGAATTTCTCTGTTTTGCGAATTTATTCCAGAAACCAAGAACATTTTGGAACATTTTCCAAATAGCGAAATGAATTTTCTAACGAACTTTTCTTTGAGATCCACTTTCCCTATTTCTGTAAAATTTCAGAACATTTTAAACTTGTTAAGGCATTTTATGGGGGAAATGCCCTTTAATTGATTTTTGAAGCCACTTAACTTTTAGAGAAAGCAGTAAAATCCCTTTCCCTTTTTGCATTTCAAACGAAAAACTCAAACAAAATTAACGAATTTTATCAGTAGCCATTAAACTTAAGAACGCATGTGGTAATGCAAATTTAATATTACTTTTATAATAAATGCAGGTATAATTTTACGCATAAATTTAGCATCTTTTAGTTTAAAATATATATATTTTTTTTTAAATGGCGGGCACTTGGGGTTTTTCCCATTGGCCACAGAAATGCCAGAACTGGTTTACAGGGCGGGTCACATACACACAAAGAGGAAAGGACATAGAACACGGAGAGAGAAAGAAACATCCATGCCCTGAGCAGGATTCGAACCCGCGGCCAATGGCTCCGCGGTCAGACACGCTAACCACTCGGCCGCCTGATCGGCTAGTTAAAATGTATGTAGCGTGATAGTATAACACTCAATAATATTTTGCTCTATTCCTGCTTTCCATGCAGATTTCTCTTATGGTTAAGATTTATAAAATATATAGTAGTTACTAGTTTACAAGATAAAGGTGTATTAATTGCTATTTTAATTATTGTTGTTAATTTACGTCGCACTAGAGCTGCACAATGGGCTATTGGCGACGGTCTGGGAAACATCCCGGAGGATGATCCGAAGACATGCCATCACAATTTTGATCCTCTGCGGAGGGGATGACTCCCCCGCTTCGGTAGCCCGACGACCTGCGCGCGAAGTCGAGAACTTTACGAGAACTTTACCGTGTCTTATCGATCAGTCCACTGCGGGACGCTATTTTAATTATGTCTACTGTTTATGAATTTAAAACCTGTTTTATATCGTTTAAGTATTTTAAAAGGTGACCCCGCAGTGGACTGATCGTTAAGACACGGTTTCCAGCAGATCACCGAAGTCAAGCATCACTGGCTACGGTCAGTGTACGGGTGGGTGACCACTTGGATCAGTCTGCGTAGGGACCGAGGGTGTGCGGTATTGGTCCTCGTTAAACTGTGCTACCGTAAAGTTCTCGACTTCGCGCGCAGGTCGTCGGGCTACCGAAGCGGGGGAGTCATCCCCTCTGCAGAGGATCAAAATTGTGATGGCATGTCTTCGGATCATCCTCCGGGATGTTTCCCAGACCGTCGCCAATAGCCCATTGTGCAGTTCTAGTGTGACGTAAAGTAACAACAACAACAGAAGGTGACTTTCTATTTAGCGAATTTTCTATGTAACGAAATTATCATCGGAATTTAGCGACTTCGTTAAATAGA